CCCACACCCAAACGTTATTGTGGACCCACAATGTAGACTTGCATCATTCCCATACACCAGAGGTCCGTCAGAAGTATGCAGTATCCTGTAAGAAAGCTCAACACAGCAATACCGGTACCACACCTCGGCCACAAATCAACTGGCACCACCTGAGCACAGACGCCAATCCTGGACAAGTGGCAGACCCTAGGCATATCGAGGGCCTCTTAAATATAAGACTTTATGCAATTACTGTGAGGAGCGGTGGCGCAGCGGTTAGCGCAGTGGGCTTTGAACATGACGACCTAATCAGTTCACATATCACTGGTGATATGTGAACTGATCCTCGATGACCTCCCCTTCCCCGATCCACAATGACCAGCATGGTGAAGTATGGTGAAACGGTCGCCATGACTGACACATTGTCGGGATGTCTTCATCCAGCAGTGGATTTACATGGGCTGAGTGCACACGAATACTGTAGGTCATAAGAAATCCTACCGAGTGTAACTATGCAGAGGGTTATAGTTATTTTAAAACTGGCATTGCAACATTGCAATTATGTATTCTATAAGTGAGTATTTTAGCCATTATCATTAATCATATCTATATTTATTCATCATTTTCAGATGACATTTTAAAATTGATTTTTTTTACTGAATTGAGACAAAGCATAGTTGATGAATGTTCAAAGATTACAACTTTAATCTCTTTTTAAAAATCCTGAATTAATTTAAAAACAGAATTCCTGCATGCATTGATGTTCATTGAAGTCAGTTTGAACATTTGTTAACTTAAATTAATTAACTCTGTGATCTGTTGAAATCAATAAAATAATCCGATGTGTCCTGACTTTTGGGCCACCCTATAGTCCATGAAATATTCTGAACTTCAAATAAACAAATACAATCAACAGACACCGTAATGAGACATGACTATACACACTTCTGGAAGGCACGGCAAGATAAAATAATACAATAAAACAAAAAACACGCCTTAATGTTACAAGCCTTAATGTCTGATCAACAACTAACATTCAGTCTGAAAAACACCGCCACAACCTATGCAGTGCTTCGGACATAATCCCTGCGGTACCGTCATCAGAAGGAAGGAAACATGCAGCAGCAGCAGAAGGAAGAACGCAGCTTTCAGACTGGGACAATGAAGCCACACTTTGCAATCTGAGATGCGCAACTTGGAGAAGAGGAAGTTGGAAACGCAAACCCCAGGGTCACTGAATGGAGGCATAGTCTGCCCCACAATAACTTGCGTGTAGCACCGAATAAAGGAAGCATTTTACCAAGTCTATAAACCGACCAAAAAATTATCACAGTATCGTGTAAATGAATAAACTGATGATCAGCTGCGCGCCAGTGGCATGGCGAAGTTGGCGTGGGCCCCGGTGCCAGGGGATGAGAGGGCCCCTCCCCCTGTCCAGCTCCCTTCTTCTTTCGTGGCCCGGCATCTGGGGGCCCTTCAGCCCTTGGGTACCAGCGCAGTTGCACCGCCTGCGCACTCCATTGTTACGCCACTCCCATAGATACAGTACATATGCATTCTATACCCAGTGTCACCGATGCTGTTGAAATCTCATTGATTTGAGCAGCAGGTCACGCGGTATGACTACCGGACTGCTGTGGGCTAGCACGGTCACTATTCTATTCTTGCATATGGCAGCAAAATGTTCAGGAGCTAATTGTCAATAGTTGAGGTCCGTTGGCCACGGACAAGTGGCATCGGGAGAGAGTTCGTGCAGTTTTGCTGTTCTACCTCCTCCGTTGCAGGAACACAGGCTACAGTGAGTTTCGTAAATGGGCCAGAGTTTTGGTGCCATCGCGACAATCGCACTGCGGATGTATTTAATTTTCCACGTAATGGGGCTAGAACTGACAGAGGCCATGGCTCGTTTGAAATCTGTTTCCATTGCCTTTGTGTTAATTATTGCTATACCACTGATAGAATGTTGATAAACATGTTATTGTATAATGGAGCTAACCCCTTCATGTCATGGTTTTAAAAACCATAGCCCCCCCCGCCACCAGCTAAACATTTCTGGCGCCAACACAGATGAGTAAAGTCCAGAGTCTGCTTTGCGGCTGGAGGTAAAATAAACTCCACCACCGTGGCGGGCAATGTGCTGCTGATGCTGGTGAAACCAGGAGACTTGCCGTAATGAATTATTAACAGCGTATGAAAGCAGATATTCATACATTGGTAAACAAAAAATGTCCGAGCTATTTTATAATAGTTTGAATCTGTAAGCGTGTAGGTAAAATGTGCACTGTGGTGTAGGCATCTATATGTATACTTAATCAATTATGCAGGAATATGAAAGTAACATTTCAATATTTTCTCAGAATTGTTGAAACAATATTTCACAGCCTTGGCAAAGATCGAGTTTTCAGTTAAATAAAATGTAAACATTTGTCAATACATCGTGGTCATGTAGTTTGGTGACTTAAGCGTTCAAACGCGATTTAAAATCGGGCATCGCCCTTTTACCGCTCTCCAACCTCCAATATAAACAAATTTATACAAATCTTCGCATAAACTTCAGATTCGTTCAGCTCTGTTCATTTTCTTGCCCCAACGGAGCCGGTGACATTGGCCCCACTGTGAGTCGCCGCATATTTTTTTTTATTGCCGAATAATTGTGAAAGCGCAGCACCAAGCAAGAGGCCCTCTTCGTGCCTAAACCCATTAACTCTGCCATTCAAAGTCTCCTGACTGCTGCCGACAAAGAACCCAATTTTACATGGTCCTGGCCTCCGCAGCTGCGCACTTCAGTGTAACCGCATTTCAATGGCACTAAAAGCCTCTGAGGGGAGAGGAAAAATATGATTCCTCCTGCGAGAGGCCAAAAGGAGGTGGAGAGAAAAAAGAATCCCCGCTCGGTCACTGAAGCTTGCACGGGTGCCCACCGCACACTGGGCCCCCATTGAGGGTCAGGAATTTGGCAATGCGAGACATTTCCTCGCAGCAGGCAAGTGCCAGCCTTCATTCCAGCCAAGAGGGAGCCTGCCATTCTAGCCCGCGTCCCCAGCAGCAGCAGCAGGGGCCTTTACTGCCGCTTGCCGTAAATAGCCAGCGCCGGCAACGTGCGCAAGCAGCCAGCCAAAAAACGGAAAGAACGGCACCGCATAGGTAGTCGGTATTCTTGTTGTATTTATTGTCATTCACCCCAAAATTGCGTCGCACAACGCTGCACAATCCACAACACACACGGAGGTGGATAAATATATTGAGACTTTTTCAGCCAATTATATTATTAAGCGTTCATACATTTGGGAGGAAACCAGACCACCTGTAACAAACCCATGCATGTGAGGGAACAACGCCACCCTATACAAATGGAACAGATAGAGATGAGTCCACACTTGCTGCAGCGCCTTCTCCTGGCCGGTCAGGGTATGGCACCTCAATACCCACGAGAAGGGAGTTCACAACGTCCGCGCGATGCGCCAACCCTCGCTGCCTCCATAGAGCTGGACTACAGGCCACGTGCAGTACAGCCACCACCACCCAACCGGAGACCCTGGGGAGTGTGGCCACTGCTGCAGCGGAGTTATTGTGGAGGAGGGAGGGGGCTAGGGGCTGTTCGGATACCAGAACAGCAGAGAGTTCAGGGCTTACGCAGCTGCTGACACCGTTTCGAGGCAGCTGTCAATGCTGCACAACGCCACAAATAAAAAATAATTATGCAGTGTCTTTATTGTGCTGTCACTATTTATAGAGCTGTTCGTTTGTGGTGGGAATGCCGCCACGGAAACGCAGAGTTCGCTGGTTGAACTACGAAACATTTTTTTTTATTTTACCAAGTAAGGCCCGTTGAGCTATATAGATCTTTTTCAGAAGCAACCTGGCCACAGATGATTGCTCAACGAAGTGGCTCACCACGTGAAAATGCATAGCAGTCAAAAACTCGTGTTTCTAAATGTGGCGAGAAAAACCGGAGGACTCGGAGAAAAATCAGCGCGACCACGGGGAGAGAGAGAGACACACAAACTCCAAATATACAGGACATCAGCGTCGGGTCGAAACCACAATCTCCTGCATGCCAGCAGTTAACATGTCGCCACCGCGACTATTGTAAAAGTGGTGCACATGCATGAACTCTCCACCCACCTCTGTCCACCCGGCAGTCTAAATGGGTGCATCACAGGAAGTTGAAATGTCAGGGTTGTACGTGATGAGGTGAATCTAAGAAGTGTGGCCAGCGTGAAAGAGTAGGCCAAAACACCCTCGAGATTTCCCTCTCGTGAAGGCCGTTCTGCTAGCAGTGGTACGAGCCATCGCTTGCAAGCCTGCGCCTCTAACTGTTGTCACATTTACGTCATGTAATAAATAGTTTACTTTATTTTAGCCGTTCCAACTCCCGTCTCAACATTTCACGCGTGTATCTTTTCACGTATACAATTAAGCGTTTCCAAACGTTAAAACCAACGATTCTAAATTTTGAGACGCGAGATGGAAGATTGCTCCGAGAAAGCTGGGTTGCAGAACCCTGACTGGTAACAGTTAAAAGCCACGTGGTACCGCAGGTGCGGCCTCAGAGCGAGCGCCTTGCTACACCGCACCATTCTGGGCAAATATTGACGTCATCAACTCTTGATTTACTCGCAGAGTCAAGAACAAAACCCCTCTGTGCGTTATTTTGCCCTTAAAGTCACGCATTTTAGCGGCCGGAGCGTGCACACAAAAAAAAATAACAACGGCGTTATTCATGGCCGGTGACCAACAGAATTGCACAAACCTGTCGGTGCTATTGTGTGTACTCGCACACAGAACGTCACTTTGCAGCCCGGTGGGTTGTTCGCGTTCTGAAATACGGCTGAGGAATCTCGCGTGGCGGCAGAGACCGGTCTGCCGCAATCCGCGGCCCGGCGATCATCACAGCAGTCACAAGTGCATTGCGAACAGCGATCTTTCTCACGTCAGAGCGCGCGCCCGTTCAGCACGAGGTGTAACACCGCTATCGACGATGCCGATATGAATTTGATCGGTGCGCCGCCTCCGAGTACCTTGAGAAGCTGCCTTCGCTCATCCTTCTTCCTCTTCTTCCTCCCTCTCTTCCCCTTCCCCTTGGCTGCCAGAGATGCTTCGCTCTGATGGTCCGGTCTGCCGGGGGTGTCCTCCTCCTCCTCCTCCTCGCAGCAGGTGAAGCTCACCGTGCAACCCATGGGGTTCCCCGTGCGTCGCTCACCGCCCCCACGGGAACACCTGGACGCCGAGGAGCAGCTTCTCCCCAGGCTCTCCGCGTTAACAATCAGCTGGCTCGGCAAACCTCCCCTCACCCCTCCACACCTCCTCCCACGCCGCTTGTGTGGCGTTTTTTTTTAAAATCCCTTCCTTTCAAAAATAAAACATGTCCAAAGATTTGGACAGCTACCAACGCAGCGCGATTATTAACGGTGCCTCTCCGCCACGCGCACCCCTCTCGTGCTCGGCATATCGAGCCGCGCTGGGGGGCTTTGCATTTTCATTACCCACACTGCCACCCTGGCACTGGGGGAAAAAAACAGGTGGCAGCACTATTTTGCTCTCACCATTCCCCCTCCTACTTTGGTGCCCTCCCTCTCTCTCTCTTCTCCGTGTTCTTCTCCCTCGACTTATTTTGCTCTCTCCCTCCCTCTCTTCCTCTCTCTCTCTCTCTCCCTCTCCCAGTTTTCTCCTGCTGCCCACTGCGTCTAGGCAAGTCCGTTGTGTTGGATCGGTCGGCGTTATTGTCGAAAATAATTTAATGTCCAAAGTCATGCGCTGGCAGTGCACATGTGTGCACACACGTGCGTGTGTGTGTTTGCGTGCGTGCGTAGGAGGGAGGGTTTGCTGCCGTCACTGCGCTGGCGATCTCCGCTGTGCACGGCAGCAAGAAAGGAAACCAGAGCCATGCCAAAGTCACTCTTCCAAAGTGCGCCACTGCGAAAGCGGCTCACTGCCCCCCCTCCCCTCCCTCTCCCGCCCTCTATACAAGGGCACAAAAAGCCACTTTTGGCATTTGTTGACCAAGGGCCAGGAGGTTCATTTGCTGTGATAGTTGATCCGTTGAGAGAAGACCATTTAATTTGAAAATGATTTTCGTTTTTATTTAAACATCGCTTGATTCTCTTCAATATGACAAATTATGCAACATTTCAAAGAAATACAAATGCAATTAAAGGTCAGGTTAAGTATAAACTTTCGATTATTTGGCTCTTCTCACAGTGAGGAAATACATTTTAAATCACACCCTCCAAATGAATCTTCGGACGTCTTTTAAGATTCGCCAAATAAAAAATGCAACGAGACTGAACACCGCCAGTCCACCCCTCTTGCTTTCCCGGTGGAGGCCTTTATTTAGCCATTTACAAAATTGCCATTGGCGGATTTGAGTTTCCACATGCCGGGCAGACACGGCGCGCGATATCCCCTTTCGTCCCCAACAGCGAAGCCGCGAGGCAACGCCACGAGTCCGCGTCAGAAAGAAAACCTCCAAAATCAAAGTCTTCCGCTCACGCTCTGCGCTTCTCCACCATTTGTGTGCGGGCAACCGTAAAACCCGAATTCCACCGACGACACTCGGGCTCAGGAGGAATATTTCTGGGGCAGGACACTCTCGGTCACTGACCCACTTGGGAATCTAAGCAGCGAGGGAGGTTAAATCAGGCATCCCTGCCGCACTGCTGTCACCGACACGGAAATTCAATCCCAGTGGGAGTGTAATTGGGTTTGGAGGATATCTCCTCCTCGGTTATCTCAGTGCTGTATGGTTTAGTTTTAAAAATAAATATTTTGACATCCAAAGTATTTGAGATTGCACTCGATTTCTCGTCGGGGGGGGCGGGTGGTGGAGAGGTGTTCATTTGCAGTACTTTGGTGAAGAATACATCCAACAATTTTGAACTGTGATTTGTTATTTTATCACCTGGAAAATTACATATCCATGTATACCATGTGCAAGGACTTCATTTTACTACCATTAGACAATACATTGTTTCATGAGACTACAAATAATCCGGAGGTAATCGAAACCCCAGGATTTTAAACTTTACAAAGAAGTTAACCCAAGCTGCCAATGTAACTACCAATATATTTAAATAGGCGGTGCCTTTCGATCTAAAGCTTTCGTAACTGCAGGGATTCATCTTCTTGGTTCTTTCGGTAAAGTCACGTAGAAGGGAAATAATAAAACAATAAAAATAAAACATAATAAAATAATTCTCACGACGTTTCGGCCACAACGCAAGCAGCCGTCCTCAGGTGAAGAACAGGTCTGTCGGAAAGACAGCGTCTGAATGACGTCTGAATGACGCTGTCTTTCCGACAGACCTGTTCTTCACATGAGGACGGCTGCTTGCAATGTGACCGAAACGTCGTGAGAATTATTTTATTATGTTTTATTTTTATTATTTTATTATTTCCCTTCTACGTGACTTTACCGAAAGAACCAAGAAGAGGCAGTGCCTTCACATTGTACACACATTTGCCAAGCCACTGCTGGGTGAGGGCATCTCCATGCCATGCGGGGTGTGGGAGTCATTCGAACGCGCTTCAACGTCGGTTCGATGAAAGTGGGGAGCATGGACATGAGAGGATAGTAGAGTACAATAGATTGTTGTAGACAGTCCTTTGTCACCCATAACGTAGGTGCACTTGGACACGGACAGATGAATAGTGAGGTCACCCAGTGAACTCAATTGTGCAACAGATTGAATGAAGTCAATGATTAATTTCCTGTCGGCTCAGAGTAATTTCTTAATGAAATTACCTCAGCATTCGAGTGCTGTGAAGTGTAAGTTAAAGACCATGTTACATTACTTACGAAAGTAGAACGCTGTATTTTAGTTTAATAACTACGAGCTCAAATTTAAATATTGCGAAACCTGGGACAAACGCGGTGGAAAATTCACCCCCTCATCGTGTCACCCACGTCTCACATTCATAGTGTCACCCACGTCTCTCATTCATTGTGTCACCCACGTCTCTCATTCATAGTGTCACCCACGTCTCTCATTCATAGTGTCACCCACGTCTCTCATTCACAGTGTCACCCACGTCTCTCATTCACAGTGTCACCCACGTCTCTCATTCACAGTGTCACCCACGTCTCTCATTCATAGTGTCACCCACGTCTCTCATTCATAGTGTCACCCAGGTCTCACATTCATAGTGTTACCCACGTCTCTCATTCATAGTGTCACCCATGTCTCTCATTCACAGTGTCACCCACGTCTCTCATTCACAGTGTCACCCACGTCTCTCATTCATAGTGTCACCCACGTCTCTCATTCATAGTGTCACCCACGTCTCACATTCATAGTGTTACCCACGTCTCTCATTCATAGTGTCACCCACGTCTCACATTCATAGTGTCACCCACGTCTCTCATTCACAGTGTCACCCACGTCTCTCATTCACAGTGTCACCCACGTCTCTCATTCATAGTGTCACCCACGTCTCTCATTCATAGTGTCACCCACGTCTCACATTCATAGTGTCACCCACGTCTCTCATTCACAGTGTCACCCACGTCTCTCATTCACAGTGTCACCCACGTCTCTCATTCATAGTGTTACCCACGTCTCTCATTCATAGTGTCACCCACGTCTCACATTCATAGTGTCACCCACGTCTCTCATTCACAGTGTCACCCACGTCTCTCATTCACAGTGTCACCCACGTCTCTCATTCACAGTGTCACCCACGTCTCTCATTCATAGTGTCACCCACGTCTCTCATTCACAGTGTCACCCACGTCTCTCATTCACAGTGTCACCCACGTCTCTCATTCATAGTGTCACCCACGTCTCTCATTCATAGTGTCACCCACGTCTCACATTCATAGTGTTACCCACGTCTCTCATTCATAGTGTCACCCACGTCTCACATTCATAGTGTCACCCACGTCTCTCATTCATAGTGTCACCCACGTCTCTCATTCACAGTGTCACCCACGTCTATCATTCATAGTGTCACCCACGTCTCTCATTCACAGTGTCACTCACGTCTCTCATTCATAGTGTCACTCACGTCTCTCATTCATAGTGTCACCCACGTCTCTCATTCACAGTGTCACCCACGTCTATCATTCACAGTGTCACCCACGTCTCTCATTCACAGTGTCACCCACGTCTCTCATTCATAGTGTCACCCACGTCTCTCATTCATAGTGTCACCCACGTCTCTCATTCATAGTGTCACCCACGTCTCCCATTCATAGTGATACCCACGTCTCTCATCCAAAACGAATGCATCTCAATTTTCTGTCATTTGGCTAAGGGGGCCTAAATGCATTTAAAATGCCATTTACACAAACCCACATGGCATTGCTAATGGACTGCAATGTTTCTAAGTAGTTAATAGAGGCACAAAAAAGGCAGATTACTGAGACAGAAAGCAGCAACATGTCCCTTGGACATTCTCCAGCAGCGAGCCTTCCCAGAAGCGACAGCGAGTGATCGATCATCTTGTACATTGCAACCGCGGCGCTCCGTACATTTTTCCCTCCCCACTTAAGTGCTCAGGTATCTTATTTCACAGGATCTAGACATCTTGAAGAAATGTTACTTCCTTCGGTAATTATTCCCACATAACACGCACCAAGAAAATATATTTTGTTTCAGTGCAAGGCGATGTTAAATCGGAGGAAGATGTTATCGTTATTGAATAAACACAATTGGAAGGCAGCTCAGGCAAAAAAATATTCCAGACGATTCTAAGCGTTACATTTAAAAGATAAATACACAACTGCAGTTCGACCCTAAATTATTTTGTCAAATAAAGACAGGTCCACGACTCTACTTTATCAAGCACTGCAGGTCGGTGGTATTTAATTAAGTAAAATGTCCTGGGGCCCTTTGAAAAGAGGCCACCACAGGTTGCCAAGGCTGTAAAAATGGCACCAGCAGTGGTACTTATTCAGAGGATGCTGATGGGCATTGGTCCACAGATAGACGCTGGCACAGAGCCATCCATAAAAACAGCCCCCTACTCGGCCCTACTTAACCCCTAACACTGCCCCCTTCCCCACCACCCCTTTCCGCTTATTCCCCTACCCCGCCACCTATTCCCTCAATACATTCCTGATGCTTCCACGAGGCAGTTCCCTGGAAGCGCTCTCCCGCCAGCAAAACAACAGCGCACTGAGCGCAACTCCCGCTCCGCTTGTCCCAACGGGAGACGTCGTCGTCCAGGGCACGGGACAGCGCGCGCGGCGACCGGCTCGGGCCCCAGCCGGCACCGAATGAGGACGCTAATATAAATATACACACACATATA